AAGAATGAACAAAGATAATGGGGTGGGCCTTTGGTACAGCTGAGACGCCACTTGGGAAGTCTGCATTGCACGTCGCGGTGCCTCCCGATTCCAGCCTCCTGCTGATGCGCAGCCTAGCAGGCAGCATGACGGCTTAAGTAACTGGGCCTCTGTCTCCCAAGTGGTAGGAATGGGTTAGAGAACAGGAACTCACTTTTTTTCTTCCCATCTGAAAACTGGAGTAGATATTTATCAGCGCCAAAAGCAGACAGACACAGTTCTTGGAAGTCCAGGCAGGTTCAGTAGGTCCAGCCATATCACTGACAACGTGGCTGCTGCTATCCTTCTGTTCCTTACTAGTAAAATGGTTTTTATTTCAGGGTCACCCTGGCTGCTTTCAAAACAAAAAGTGTAGGTAAGAGGCAAAAGTTTCTTCCCTTTAGCAGCTTTAAGATGGCTTGGGTTGGGGTCAGTTCCCTCCGTGGCCAGATCTCTCATGAGCAAGCTTGTAGGGCACATTGTTTCTTGGTGAAACCCGAGCTCATGAAGTCATCCTAGCAGTAAGCAGACTGCCGCACTAGGAGGCACCTGCAATCCCAAACCGCATCTAACAGCGGGAAGTGAGTGGGGCATCAGCAAAGGGAGCAGCGTAGGGAAGTCATCCTAGCAGTAAGCAGACTGCCGCACTAGGAGGCACCTGCAATCCCAAACCGCATCTAACAGCTGGAAGTGAGTGGGGCATCAGCAAAGGGAGCAGCGGAGGACCTTAGGTCACATCTAAATGCTGATAGGATTATTTTGTCCTGAAAACATACTAAGCATAGGAAATAGAGACTGAAATGTAAACCTCAAGGAAGTGGAGAAAAACGCACTTCCATAGTAAATAATCAGATAATCTAGCCCAAGCAACCAGGATGGTTTAAGAGAAAGGAAAAAGCAGCTGACAACAAAAAATTGTAAGTTTAAAAAAATAGAATGAAGGGAAGAGAAAGGTCAGGAAATCTTTAAAGTAGAACATCCAAGCAATGAAGCTATCCAACACAAACGTCTCAGAACTGCAGGGTTAATACAGTTTGCGCTAGACAGTGGGAGGCCAAGGACTTTTACAGTCACTACGGCATTTCAGAGCACCAAGGGTAAACAGAAGAGATGTAAGCTTTTCTAGAACAAAAAAAGGTGACATCCACAGGATTAGGATGAAGTTCAACATAAGAAGGCAGAAGGAAAACAATGTGTTCCAAATTGTGGGAAAAAGTTACTTTAATCAAGAATTCTATACCCAAGAAAGCAAGCACATGCTGGGTACAAAAAAATTAACGTAACGCCCCCAGCCCTGCCATCATGTTGCCTGCTCGATCAGCACGAGGTAATCAAAGAAAGAAAGGGCAGGGGATCTAGGAGAACCGACACAGCAGAGGGGCCACAGCAGGAGGCTGGAGAAATCGGAAGACTTGCCTAGGAAGGAAGGTAGAACCAGTGAACCATCAGAAGGTTTGACAGCTGGTAATGAAGACAAAAACATGCTTTTGAGTTAGATATGAAACAAAAGACTTTTGGGGTAGATTTGTCACAGGGGTTGGGACACTGTTTATAACACCTGTACCATGTTGTCAGAGTGCCTGAGTTCACACCCAGGAGCAACAATTAGAAAATATTTTCAAAACTTTTTCCATGATTAGATATTAACGGATTAGATCTCCTTTATTAACGGGAGGACTCATCTGTGCAGATTAACTTCTTGAAGTGACCCTTCCTTGCAAACAATTCTTAGAAGTCAAAACTGTCAGTTGTATAGATAAGCCTAAGAATTATTACAGAAGAACAATACCACAGAAATATTCCGTTTTTGTGGTAGTCTTTCATTTACTGGTAGATAATTCTGAAAACTAGTCTATACTGCACAGTATAACCAGAGATTCTATGGCACAGTACAGTAATTGCCTTAAGACTCATGCTAAATTCCTGCAGACTCTCCGGGAAGGCAGCACCCAGGCTCAGCTCCCAGGCCGAGAACACTGCACGCTGCAGACTTGCCTATTTGTCACAGAACTTCTAAGATAAATACTGAATTATACAGCTTACTCAGTGTCTAGGTCAAGGACAAAATCGTCTTGAAACCTATATGTAGAAGAACGTTTTTAATTTTAAATTTTGTACCATAATTCAAATTGTAGCTTTTTAAAATTGAACTTGATTTATTTTTCAGCTAAACTTACATCAGGATTCTTCATCACACCATTTCTAGTGCTCAGGTATTTACCAAATAAAATCATTTTGATAAGTTGTGAATCTACATCTTGTGTAAAACCTGGCTGGGTCGAGAGTTTGATGCTGCAGTGACTTAGGCAGAGTCTGCCTAAATTTTTCCAGGTTCAGCAGACAAAGTTGACTCGGTGAACAGAGATCGCGCTCCTCTGCCAGGCCGTTCTGGATGAATGGCATCCTTAGAATTCTTCCTCTGCCTGCTTGCTGCGGGACTGCTTCAGCTGCTGCAGTCGCTCAACTGTTTCAGAAATAGTGCGTTCCCCATGGACCTTGTTATCCCTGGTGCGGATATTAACTGTGCCGCTGGCTTTCTCTTTTTCACCAACAACTAAAACAGAAGACAGAGAGCTGAGTTAGACTTGTCTAAGGATAACTGAAGGATTCCTGTTGACCATATGGACAAAAATGACGCAACCCTTAGTTCCCAGCATGTTAAAAATGACCTAAAAATCTACTTTAAAAAATGTCACATTGTCCAATCAACTTAGTAAACACTTACCTTTAGAACTCGTTTTTCAATATACCAAAAGTTTGCTATTTATCAATTAAAAGTATGTTAGGTATCAGGACTGAAAGGAACTAAACAAACCCCAATTCATCCGGGTTCAAGCTTTCAGTGTTTCTCTAAGGTGTAACTTATCTTACCCAGGATGAAGTTATATTGGGCTAACTGTGCGTTCCTGATCTTCTTATTCAGTGTGCAGCCAGCATCCAGGTCAATGTCCGCCATGAACTTGGCATCATGGAACTGCTGCCGCACCTATTTAAACAGGAAAAAATAAGCTAGACTCAGAAATGCAAAGACTATGTGTCCTCCCTTATTTGCAAAAGCTAAAATTTACAAATGCGAAGTTAGCAGAAATTTTAATCTAGTGTTTGCTTTTCTTTAGAAGGAAAATACTGAAACTATTGTCCATTTAATATACACAGACCTATGGCAACGTAGCAAGACCTGGCACTTTTGGTGGGGCAATAGGCAGTGAACAGCAGCTTTAAAATTACATTTCTACAGGGACTCCTGGTTTGATCTTTGACTTAAATAGATTAATTTCTAAGAACATGATGATATTCACTTCCTTTTTCCACTCCCACTTCTGAGATAATTTCATTAAGCTTTACTTGTTAGCAACACTGATGCCTTAAAATTTTTCTACTCGCCTAGTAACTGAATACCATTAATATGACAAAGGTTTATCATTCTGCATGGACCTCAGATTCTCTTAGGCATTAATTAATCCTTTAACCTTAAGATAGAATAAATAAGTAGTAATTATCAATTATCATAAGTAAAACTGGCTTTATTTGGTTGAATGAGAAATCCAAAGATTTCTCCTATTTCTATGGAAAAGTTTTTCCATAAACTTGGGACATGTGTTTCAAATATTTACATCAGTAATTTCCTTAAACAATGTTCAGTAACCTTTCTCTATGTTGACAAGTTAAAGCTATACTGATAATTTTAGTTCACAGATCACTGACTTTAGGCTTTTTTAATAGACAATTTCCAAAAGATTAATACTACTCCTACATTATTAAAATTCTTCAGCACAGCTATACTCAGCATTGTACTTTCAAGTGTAAAGTATGAATGGCTGTTTCTATATTTGCTAGTTTTAGGAGTAACAGATTCACCCTCCATGATGCCAGCCTGAACCATGTTTTGAATAACTAAAATCCTGATTGAAAAACCAAGCAGAATTATTCTTGGTCAAAGAGCAGTTTAAGCCACATTTTACACTCGAATTTACATTCTAGTTCTTGATACCTACACCTGTACACTTAATGGTTAAAGTTGCTATCCGAGTATGTCTTCTAATCAAGTATCCAGACAAAATGCACTGAAGTGCTCATATTTATCCAGCCAGAAAATAGCTGCTTTTCACTCACAACGTATGGCACTTAGGTATTAAAGGCATTGAGGGATTACCTTTTGGGCATAGTCATCACATGTTGGCCCCACTGGAACTACCATCACCTGGCGAGGAGACAGCCAGAAAGGCCTTAAAAAAAAAAAAGGAATATTCAATATAGATCTGGACAATGCACTAACAAGAATTTTTTTTTTGGTTTCCAAATTTTCTAATTATCCTTCTTTAACTGTTTAGGAGCTGTTTATCACTCATTCACATTGCAGTAAATACTGTGCCATTAGTTTAAGATTCATTCTTGCAGAATTCATCTGTAAATAAGTGGGTAGGTTCTACCAATAGGTGTGGCAAACCCCCATGCTTCTAGCTTCATTTGTGCCGAGAGAACTGCTTAAAGGTAGTTGTTGAGTGTGACATTAACAGTCACAAAACACCCATCAATCTTAAGTTTTTCAGTCAAATAAAAGCAAACTCCACCCGCCCCCTCACCAGCAGCTTCTAAAAGATGCCAAAATACTTGCTCACTGTGATCAGCAAGGCTGAATAAGGCAAGCCAAAGGCCTACTAAATTACTTGGTCAACAACAGGAAAGCTGGAACTCTCCAAAACTGAACTACATAAAAAGTAGTCAAGATAACACATGCTTTTTACTGAATCATAATTCATAATTGGAGAGAGTGCAAGTTGTGGTTTAGCGTGTCATTCCTTTTCAGAGCACCTGACTCACCAGGAGCGACCTTTCAGAATCACTTTGTATTTCACAACTAAACTGGCCGATACAATTATGTACATGTGTCCGATAAGAATCAAGAAAATAACGAATTACCATTTGCCCCCATAGTTTTCCGTGAGGATGGCAATCATTCTTTCCACAGAGCCCAAGACAGCACGGTGAATGATCACTGGCCTCTTCTTGTCATCACCATCGTGACTGAAAGAAAAAGAACAGACTGTCGGCCACGGGCATTTTTCCGACAGTCCTAAGAAAATTCTGACCGGACACTCACCTTACAAAGGTAAGATTAAACCTGATGGGCAGCTGAAAATCCAGCTGGATGGTGGCACACTGGTGATACCGCCCAATTGCATCTTTAATCTGTATGTCAATCTGCAACATCAAGACGAGGTTACCATAGATGTTGAATTAAAATCAAACAACAGTCAGGTTAGGGATGATTTTTTTTTCCTTTTCTTAGAATTCAGGTTATTTTGGTACTGACCTTTGGACCATAAAAAGCTCCATCTCCAGGGTTTAACTCCCATTTCTCACCAAATTCATTCAGACTGTTTTCAAGTTGCTAAAAGATAATCAAAGCTAAGTCATTATGCTTTATTTGCAACTTCACTTCCTCTGAACCAAACTCATTTTCATGGATCACTAAACTTACTCTTGTGTAAACCCCTTTTAGAATTTACAGCCTCATAAATGAGAGGCTGCTGTTGAGGAATAGAGCGTAAACCACCACTTGCCACTCCAGCATCCCACACGGCACTGCTGCCTCCTTTCAGACCCAGCAGCAGATGACCTTGGTAATCATGCCCCTGCCACTTCCATGGGAAATCCAAATGGAAGCTGTTTCTGGAACTTTTAAAACTGGACACAGTGAAAGCCCAGTGGCTAATTCCTCGCCTTGCACACCCAGGATCCCATCTGGGAGCCGGTTTATGTCCTGGCTGTTCCATTTCCCATCCAGCTCTCTGCTTGTGGCCTGGGAGACCTGAAGACAGGTTTCACTATGGCTCAGCTCTGACCACTGCATCCACTTGCGGAGTGAACCAGCAGGTGGAAGATCTGTCTCTCCTCTCTGTAACTCTGCCTTTCCAGTGGAAATAAATTCTAAAATCAACTTATAGCTTGATAAATGACATTCAAAATATCTTCCTCGCACTTAAGGTACTGTTGCTAATTTCTTTTGCTTTTAGTCTTAATATCTGAAATTGACTTCTGTAAGAAAACCTCTTATCTATCACACTGGGGGAAAAAAAAAACAAAAGACACCACTTACTTTTTCAGCCTGATTCCATACTTCAATATCTCCAAGAAATTTTTCTGGCCGAGTAGAAAGGTTCAGTTTAAAAGAAAATCCAAACACTTCATATACTGTTCGTAGAAAGTCCAAACAACCTTTCATTTCATCTTCAATCTTTAAATTGAAAAGCACAAAAGAAAAGTACTTTTAATTTTGTTCCCTTGGCTTTTAAAGTATTTTCATTTCTCTAAGTATTTTATCCTACAGGGTCTCATACCTGCTCCATGGCACAGAATATGTGTGCGTCATCCTGCTGGAATCTTCGTACCCGGGTAAGTCCTGTGAGCGCCCCCGAAAGCTCATTCCTATGTAGGACCCCAAAATCGGCAAGCCGTAGGGGCAATTCCCGCCAGGATCTAGGCCGATGGTCAAACATAAGGCTGAAAGACAAAAGTGAGTATAACTGCTTCTCTAGTACAGCATCTAATTATATGCTTTTCTGATTATATACTTTGTTTTTAATAAATTATTGGTGGGGGAAAGGAGGTAAGAGATGGCAGTGGAAGCCACCGAGTCCTGGCTGCTTCACTCCACAATCAGCTCCCTGCTAATGTGCCTAGGAAAGCAACAGAAGACGGCCTCAGCACTCAGAGCCACTCATCATCTGGAGAGCATCTGGGAAGTGAGCCAGCAGATGGGAAATCCATCTCTTCCTTTGTAATGTCTTTCAAATAAATATCAAGCATTCTTTTGAGGGAGGCAAAGTAAGCTAAGACTAACCGCAGCACGTGAAAATCTTTAGCTCCTCAAAGCTGCTAAATACCAACCAGTGTCCTGGGCAGTTCATGGGTTTGAGAGCGAACAGCTCCTTCTCCACCTCAAAGGAGAACATGTTGTCGCTGTAGTGTTGCCAGTGGCCCGAGGTCATCCACAGCCGGCTGTTGTAGATGTTCGGGGTGACTACCTCCTGAAATCCTCTTTTCCTATATTCACTCTGTTAAGAGAACAGAATACTTACATAGGCAACTAAATTTACAAACTGATTTGGTGCCTCCTCTTGATACTTCAGATGCACAATCTATAATCCAGAAATCCCTGCAAACTCCTGTGCGTGTGTGTATAAGGAACTTTATGCAAATAATGCTACTGCAACATGTTTAGGGATATGGAAAAATTATTGAGCACTGACGTAAGTTCTAGTTAATTAATGAAATAACATGACAAATGAAAATAAGTAAGCTGGATTTGTATGTATCAAATGTAACAAAAAACAATGCCTTCCTTCATGAAAGAGAAATAGGGTAAATATGTAGTGTAGATAAGAATCTACTTACAGTATTTTCTTGGAAAGCAGAATGCTTAAGAGACTCTAAAAGTGAACTTTTATAGGTAAGCATACAAAGTATGAAACTTTATAAAATCAGAGTAAACACTGGGAAATGTACACCAATGGCCAGAGATCCTCTACATAAAATCCACAAGGCTACAGGACCCCGGAAGCTCACCAGCCCCTCCCTGTACAGGCAAGCATACTGACATTGACAGGACACCCTCGATGTTAACTTTTATTCTTTAATGCATTTCTCCTTGAAATACATATTTTTAATCTTATATCCCAATTTCAAGAAAATAATGAAGATGGTTTACCCTGATGAACTCCATAAGTGTATTATAAATATAAGCTCCCTTTGGCAGGAAAAAGCAACTTCCGGGGCTTAGTTCATGGAAGAAATACAGTTCTTGGTCCTGTAAAGGAAATGCTTAAAATTACTCTAATATGTACATAAAATCAACACAAACTTCAGAGAATTTAATTTAGTAGTCACAACATGCCATCCTGAAAGGAAGAAGCAACATCAGTATTTGACATACAACTTAACTTAGCACAAGCCCGTTTCTGGAGTGCTCATCCCTCAGTGCAGTTAGGTTAACCAAACAGTGACACACATACACAGGCCGTTCAGCTGTCCACAGTGAGAGCTCCTATAGTTTTAATTCATCAAACACCAAGTTCTTTCTTTTTAATCCCTTAAAGCTCCACACCTCAATTTTCTTTCCTTCTCTTATGCCACCACTCCTCTCCTGCCCCGCTTGTGTCCTAACAAGCAGGGCAGAAAGAATGGGAAAAAGTCACTGGTAAGTAAAGCACTGATGGGGATGTGCAGGCAAGTCACCTGAGGTTCTGGGAGACGGCCTTCCTCCCTGCTCCTGCCCCCTGCAGCACAGGCCCCCAGCATTGCCAGCGGCCTCACCGCTGCAGCTGATTTCTGGGAGTGAGACACGGCAGGAGAGGCTGCCTTCTGCTCAGATTTCACCACCTAACAGTCAAGGGCCATCAGTACAAGATGGGCCCTATCTTAGGAAAGAATGATTTCATCAGAAAATTAACATGCATGTGCCAAAGCAGGTAAGCTGGTGACTTCAATACTGGCATCCCATATGTGTGGCTGGGAAAGCAGCAGAGGACAGTCCAAGTACTTGGGCCCCTGTACCCATGTGGGAGACTGGGAAGAAGCTCCTGGCCTGCCTCAGCCCTTGCTGTTGTGGCCATCTGGGGGCCAGATGTTTTGGTTTCCCAATCGTGGTTCTCTCAGCTTTAATCAACAGCTCTACCTCTTTTACAGAAAACTGCACTCAGAGTGTACTTTTGCGGAGTATGACGTACACTCCAGAATATCACAAGGAGTAACCCGCAGTCAGTTGAAAACTACAGTGTCTCACATCTCAAAAACTAAGAAAACAGTTAAAATATACAGCTGCTGAAAGCCATCTTTTACATACCCTCCCAATTTTTCTGTGATCTCGATTTTTAGCTTCCTCCTGAAACTTTTCCCACTCTTTCAGCATCTTAGGATCTGGGAATGAAATGCCGTAAATTCTCTGCAGAGTCTCCATGTCAGCTCTGCCTTCCCAGTACGTGGAGGAATTCTGAAAACAAGAATTAACCATGAAATAACCACCAAATCTGCCAATCTCATTCATTTTAGGAGCTGGATACCAGAGGTCAGCGCCAGTGTAGCACATATGTGCTGATGGCACTTCCTGTGGACGCTGGTTCGAGTCCTGGCTGGCCCACGTGCTTGGGAGCCCCAGAAGACGCTCCTGACTGGCCTAGCTCTGCATGTTGCAGCCAGCCAGGGAGCGACCCAGCAGATGGAAGATGGAGCTTTCTGTCACTGGAACTCTGCCTTTCAAATAAAGAATTAATCTTTAAAAAATTGAATTTTCTTTTTTGAAGTTACCTTAAAGTCAAATCCATTAATCTTTTGAACAAGAAAAATGGTACGTAAGTATGCAGAGTAGCCGTCTCCTGCTGCCTTGATGCCTGGTTGGAGTAGCAAAGGTCTTCCTTTATTCACTTAGCGCATGAGGCTGTGAACACTGCTCTGCTTGTAAGGGCATCTCTCGCAAAATGAGTAAACAAAAACATCCTGAAATGTCTTATGACTTAAAAGGCTTCCTAACAGTCACCTAGGAGCTCTATGAACTGTCCCTTGCACAGTGCTGCTCAGTCCATGGACCACATGTCAGACCATGGCCATGGGCTGGTGTTATGGCACAGAAAGTTAAAGCAACCACCTGTGACAACAGCATTACGCATTGGTGTCCGGTTCATGTCCCGGCTGTTCCACTCTGATCCCACTCCCTGTTGATGCCCTAGGATAGCAGTAGCAGATGGCCCAAGCTCCTGCCACCATGTGGAAGGCTCCCACCTTTGGACCAGCCCTGGATATTGCCGTCATCTTTGATTTGCCTTCTCTGATTTGAGAATCAGAGATACAATCACTCTTACAGCAAACAAACAGAAAACATGGTCCTGTAAGATCTGATTACCTACTGATTTCGTAGTGAGAGCACTCTGGTACTTGTCCAATGACAAAGTCCCCTGAAGGTACATTTTTCAACACATTGTTACTGTTAGGTGCTGCAGATGCAGCAGCAAACAGCAGGAACCCGTTTCTAGTTGACAAAGGACAGCTTGCATGCTTGTAAAGGACCAATGCACACCTTCCCACAAGGAATCTCAGTTCTAGAGAGAGAGAAGCTATGACTCCATGAAGTGGTGAATTTCCTGCACCTGTGCCCACGGGTGCTCCTTCAGCAGATCCAGGATGAGTCAGTTACCCCTCGGGAGAATTTCAGTACCCGAAACTCGCGGTTAGGAGATAACAGGAGGAAAAGAACAGTTCTTGAATAGCTAGGAAGCAAACGGTGGGAGAGCAACTCTGACTCTGAACACACCTGTCTATACCAGGCAAACACACAGTCTTCAGAGCCACATCACTTACCTTGTGTATTTTTAAAGTCTTAATTTTCCCAGTGTGTCTGACATGAGGACCCCGGCAGAGATCTATCAAGGGACCACACCTAAAGATGAAATTTAAAAAAAAAAGATAATTAATTTATGAAGTGACATACAAGAAACCGCATTTAATGACATCTGCTACTCTCACCTATACACTGTGGTAGTTGGAGTAGTCACTTTTTCATTCAATATCCGGCACTTGAACTTGTTGTACTGAAAAAGGGCAGAATAAGCAAATAAATGTTGTAAAACAGTTCAATTTTTAATTCTATTGCTAAAATGTAACTCAAATTGTGTAATGTTGTATAAATATAACAATATTTCATGTTTTTCAAAACACCCCTACATTTTTTTCAACAAGAAAATAGACTTCGATTTCATACCACAAACCCCAATGGAACAACTCATGACTGACATAAAAGTTGAGGCCACAAAAGAGCAAAATAAAGGAATTAAAAAGTTGATGCTGTGTGTATGGTTAAATTTACCTTAAACATTTCCAATAAAGTTTCTTTCTTAACTTCCAATCTTTCAAAGGCTTGCTTTTCTTTAATGATTTTCTTACATAGAGTCTCCAAGGAAGCAAAATCATTGCTGGACACACCCCTGAAGCACAAGAAAGCACAATCTCTTCCAATCCCACCCGGAACACTCGCTGGCTTACCGAAATGGTTTAGAATGTTTGCAGGGTTGAAAACATAAAATCGAAACCCTTGCATCAGATAATTTTTTCCCTATTTTATGCTCTAGGTAGTTTCTCCTCTGGTCGCCAAAGAGTCCTTTCCACTTGGGTCTCCTTCTCCCCACTATAACCATAAGGAAGAACTAATTTTATTTCTCACTATATCTTGGGGGACTTAACTTCCTCAATCTATAACAGAGATCTCACAAAAGCCTCTATTATTCAAGTCAACTGTGACACTTCAGTTTTGAGAACAGGAACAGTCAGGAAGTAGAAAACAATGACCTCTGTATCCTGCCTCTGGACAATTTATTTTTTCTTTAATAATGTATACTCATGGATTCACAGTCACGCACACTTTCTTTATCCAGGGCTGTAACTTACCCTTCTTCCAGGTACATGTCATAATAGAACCCATTCTCTATGGGTGGCCCATAGCATAAACATCCACCATAGACTCTTTCCATGGCCTCCCCCATGATGTGAGCACTTGAGTGCCAATATACCTGAAAATGTAAGGAAGTAGGGGTGATTGTGAGATAACATGGTCATTTGAAAGTAACAGTAATTTATTATAAATAAAATACACAGACATCTCAACTTAAAAATCTGTAAGTTACAATGTAATTTTACTTAATTTAAAAGGTTTCTAGTTATTAAGTTGCATTGGTACCTTAGAAATTATCTGGTAACAGAGTGGGTGTTTTCCCCTGAACTCAATTATCACAATGTGTCTGTCACTGAGGGCAATGGCCCAGGATCCTTGGGTTCAGGGCCTTCACACCCCAAGGCCCAGACACCATCCTCTCATTTGGTTGGCAGAGGATATCATATGGTTTTATGTATTTTTACTTTATTGGCCCAAAATAACTAAGGCAGTGCAATCTAGCCTCACAATAATAAAACACAAGGACAAACACACTGACATTAAAAGCAAACAGCAACATTTGGTTTTAAGGTAATCATTAGGATGAATCAAAATATACTCAAAGCAATGCTTTAGACTTAACAATGAGAATTCCTTATTTCTCCTTATAAAGTATGTGCATACATATTTTATGAATACAGAAAATCTGGTCATCAAAGGCAGAGCAGATTTGTACGTAAGATGAGTAAATCTACAGAAATATTTTAACAAGAGGAATGCTTCTATGCAATGTTCAAATTTATTTGTTAGATGTAAGCATCTTGAAAGCAATTTTTATTAAAACAATCTTTTTTTAAAAAAAATTAAAATTCCCAGGCCATTTCCCCAGTATTCACCTCTTTTTTCAGGCAAACCTTTTTATAATATTTCCTAAATGTAGAATAAAATGATTTGAAATATGACAATCATGATAGCAGTGCTGAGCTGGGAAGACTGCCCACATGAGTTGCCATTCAATGAACACTTACCCAGCTAAAGGCAACTGCATAGGTTGCCTTGTGTCTAGGCAAGTGTTACTGGGAGAAAAGTAGCCAACAGCTGATGGGCATTCTGGGCTTGGTTAACGCTGAATGTGGGCTTCTGTACCAGTGTGCCAGCACCACTGTCTACTCTCCTTTCTCCCCAGTGAACACTTACGGCCTGAGCTTCTTCATCCTCAAACTTGAGAAGCTCCAAGGTACAATCTTCTTCCAAGGGGCGGTCTAGGTCCCAAACAACTTTATTCACTTTAGCAATAACAGTATTGTCAGCCAGGCCCTGACTTAAAAAATACACACAGAAACAGAGGAATGCTTAAAATAATCCCTTAGAGTACAGCATTTAACATGGGAATATTAAAATAATAACTATGAGTACCTACATATGTATTTTATACAGATACATTTACATCTCTCTGAGATCAAAGAGAAAAAAGACTCCAAAGAGAAAAACACTTAGAGTGAGATACACTGGAGCTGCAGCACACCATTCAGCCTGGGTCGGGAGGCCTGTCTACCGACAGGACAGCACACACCCACGACAAAGGGCAGGCTCCTGCCTTCTAGCTCTGTGTAAAAGTTTACAACCAAGTGTAAACAAAAACTTATATTCCATTTTCAATATTCCTGAAGACTTCCTTATTATAGAAATTATTCCAGTGTTGTCTTCCTTCCTGAGACATGGAATCAATAAAATGAATAAAAATATAATAAGCATTTCACAGATCCTAATAAGAATCTGGCAGAAAAATGTTTGTTCATTTTCATATAAAAACTTTCAGGAGATTAAAGAACTGACCAAAGGTAACTGACATTCTCTGTATTTTAGGAGAAAATGACTTTCATCTTCTGATCCAAAATGGCCACTTAAGACAGTTTAAACAAGTTACTTTGAAAATACAGCTAACACATAGGCCTGCTGGATCGTGTTAGCCTGTCAGAGAAGGGATTCAGCAATCGGTAATATCTGTAACAAAACGTCAAAGAAAAGCCTCTGAAACAAAATGAGTATGTCATCTTTTTCCTTTTCCTATTCATCACCAAACATGGGAACCTTAAATAGATCATTATTCAATACTCAGATTTTAGATAGAACAAGAAAAAATTATTCTAACATTTGCAATAATGCCTTAATAAAAAGCCCTGACTGCAGATCAGCTTAAAGCCCATGAATGCTTCAAGCAATTCCATGTGTAATTCTGCAACACCGGCAAAGCTGCTTTCCAACTGGTCACCTGATAAACAACAGCGTATTCTTTACTATGGAAAACACTGCAGACTAGAGAGAAAGATGTCCTGGGACCTACAGGAGCCTGAACCTTGACGATGAAAGGGCTCTGATCCCCTAGTGTGACCATGGAAGATCTAACCTGAGGGGTTGAAGCGGCATTTAAAGATCTCTACATTCCCTCCTCTTACCTTACCCGGAAACCAGCTCGTCACGACAAAGTTTACTACTTTTGGATTCAGAGCATTTGTACGCAGAAACACTTCTAAAATAACTCAAACACTACCACCTTGCAAACAGTACCCAACGAACTCCAAATGGCACTCACTATCCCATAAGCCCTGGCCCATACAAAAAATATATGTATTCATATACTCTATACTACAGTGATTAAGACAAAAATTAGCAACCATTTTCTATAAAAGGCCATAGTCATACATGCTTGTGTTACATACACT